GTGCCACTATGCCCAGACTCTGTCGCTGTCTCAGCGCACCTCAGGGTGGGGCTGGTGTGGCATACAGGACCAGGGATTGAACTCTGGTTCCTGCACTTACCAAAGCAGGCACTTAGTCCGCTGAGCTATGTTGCTGGCCCAAAATGTGCTCCGATTTTTTTTTTTTTTAAATACAGGGTCTCCTTACACAGCTCAGACTCGTAGTGATCCTCCTGTCTCAGCCTCCCTAGTGCTGGGATTACAGGCATGTGCCACCATGCTGGTTCTAGGATGGACACAGCATGCAATACTGGGGATTGAACTTGGGACCTTGCATGTGCTAGGCAGGCACTTATGCTGCTGAGCTGTCTTCCCAGCCCTCAGTAAATGTCTAGCAAGTGAGTCAGCTATTTCATAGCAAAGGTAGGACTTGAGCTGCAAGTTGAGCAATGACTGAGAATTTGTTGGTCAACAGCAAAAAAGGTAGGAAAATCGTTCTGCCCAAAGGGAACAGTACTCAAAAGCACAGGGTTGTATTTAGATTAATGTGTGTTTTCCAGTAAAAGACGGATAGGCTTCTGAAATTATTTTACTAAAAACTTGATGATTTCTAAAATTCTAATGTTTTAAAGGGTGTGAGAATCACATTCCTTAACTTCCATTGGTAGAGAGCAATGAAAGCTACCTATTCCATACTTGAAGGTTGATAGAAAAATGGATAACAAACATTTCTCTTTAGGTTTTAGTGTGGGGTGTGTGTCAGCGTGTGTCTGTACTGCTATTTTTCTTTGTCTTGTATTGATGCCTCTTTTTAAAAAAATCAAATTGAATAAGTAAGCTTTTTCAAAGCCAGGTTACAGCGCTATTTGATACTTAATTTTCTCATATTCTGCTTCAAGACAGTAACAATATTATATGCTTAATAGCCCGTTTCCATTCTTTTATATGTTTTAAATACATTTTTAATGGATAAAAGAAAAATGTTAACAGAATAACCAATTTAGAGCCAGCCAGATAGCTCAGTAAACTAACGCACCTGCTTAGGCAGATGCAAGGTGATTGAGACTGGGTGTGGCAGTGCGCACCTATAATCCCAGGGCTTGGGAGGCTGAAAACAGGAGGATCACTTTGAGTCTGATCTGTGTAATGAGACCCTGTAGACCCTTACTAAATACATAAAAAAGAATAACCACTTTAAAAAGCAATCACTGGCAGTTTCTTTACTAGAATGAGCCCTTGTAGTACTAATATCTTAAATATGAATTTCACTTTGTATTTAACATCCTGGGTTGTATTTGCCTTATATGAAATTTTCATTTGTCGAGATCTATGTTCTAGGCAGTGTCCATATGTCTTCTGTGGCCTAATTTCAGAATTCATGAAAAGGATAAATTAATTTGGATTTTGTATCATTCCTTACCCAGAGGATCTCAAAGCCACGTTTCCCAATCAGTAGCATTTGTTATCTGTCCTAATCACAGAGCCTTTCCATCTAAGTAATAGTAAACCTGGAGAGAAATCCAGTGTTTACTCACCCAACTCTTAAACACAGTGAATACTAGGCAAAAAGTTGTGCTTTTTAAAATTTGTATTTATATTTATTTATTGGAGATTGAACTCAAGGCCTTCACACTGAGCTACATTTCCAGTGCTTTTTTTTGAGGCAGAGTCTTGCTAACTTGCTAAATTTCACAGAGTAGGCTCAAACTTATGATCCATCTCTTGTTTTCCAGAATGTTGGGATTACAAATATGTGCCACCACACCCAGATTAAAAGGTGCAAATTCTGTGTGGCAATTTGGATTAGGACCCATCCATAGTCAGCACACATTTTAAACTGTTTGTTTCTGAGATTGCTGCTTAGCGAGTAAAAATTTAATTTCTCCAATAGTTACCCCCTTTCTCCTCTACTCTTTGCAAATGTATGCTCTTGAGATTTGTTTTAATCTTTCAGTGTGTTCATTCTTGCTTTTTATTCAAGATCCTAGGAATTGGGCTGGGGGCATAGCTCAATGATAGAATGCTTATTTAGCATGTGTAAGGCCCTGGGTTCAGTCCCTAATCCTGGAAGGGAATGGAAGAAAGAAATTTCCTAGGAATTATGTAGTTATTTTTAAATGAGCAGTAATTACTTTTTTTTTTTTTTTTGTAATTTAGGGGAGGGTCTAAAGGGTGTTCAGGGTCTCACTACTAGATTGGACTCATAGTGATCTGCCTGTTTACAGCCTCCCAAGAGCTGGAATTACAGGCACGCGCCACCACGCCCAGTCTCAATTGCCATCTCAGTGTGCCCTGGGGGCGGAGCCCACACAGCAGGTCCAGGGATCGAGCCCCTGGCCCCTGCACCTGCTTACAGATGCTTTAATCTGCTAAGCTATTTGGCCAGCCCTTATGACAAACTTTTTTTTTCAAGTGATTTTCAGCTGGGCCTTTAACAAATACTGTTATATTATATACTTACTGTATGCAGCTATCATACCAGAATATTTGAAATAGGACCTTGTTGTAGCCCCCAAACCTTTAGAAGAAAAGTGGCATTTTCACCAGTTTTCACATATAGGTAAGACTCAGATTAATAAAGATCATAAAGCTAATAAATGGCATACAGTGAATTCAATACTAAGTCTACCAGGTTCAAAAACCTATTTTTTCACTTCAAGTATTCCTTTTTACCTTTATACATTAGAGTCCTCTGGCTAATGCACATTTCATTTGTGTATGTCTGGGCTTAATATTTTAGTGTCTCTGATTTCTAAGGAGTTTCTTATTTATTTATTTTTTTGGTGGAATCAGGGATTGAATTCAGGCCCTTGCACTTGCCAGGCAAGCACTTATTCTACTGAGCTAGCTCCCTGACCCTCTAAGGAGTTTTAAATTTGATTGCCTAGATCTATTTGCAAAGCAAAATGTAATAATAAAGTTGCTTCTCAGATTTCTGATAACCCAATGAATGGAATAAAATATAAAATGTAAATGTAAAGTTTGATAAGATATGAAATTTGATGAGATATGAATTCTGATTACTTTTCATTTGCCATTGTATAACCTAACTGTAGCTAAAGTATCTACATAGAGAAAACAATTTTCAACACTGCCTTATCACAGTCCCCTCAAAAAATTAAAAAATTTAAACTAGTAAAAAATATTTAAAAATTTTAATCTAGTATGTCAATTTCTTCTTGCTCTGTCAAATTTGAGCTATGTAACCTTACAAATTAATTTTTTTAATTTTTTCATTATACTACTTTTTATGTAAGAAATCCTCTACACAATTCATATTTAGAAGATATTTTCCCTCATTATTTTAATAAAGTTTAGTTTTCATGATTTCTTAAGAGTTTGGAAAGGATTAAAAATAATTTAGTGGTTAATAGCTCTGATTCTGAAGTCAGACCTGTTTAGTGAAGATTATAACTTGTAATGTCTGGAAAACACTGGAAAAAATGACTTACCCTCTGCACCCTGGTTTCCTTTTCTATAAAATCCCTGTGTGGGGAGAGGAAGGGGAGTAGAAGGGACTGAAAAAATAATTAAGATGTGTTATGTACATGTGCCAGCTCCCCACAAGGAATATAATCATTATGTACTACAAATATGTTCCAGTACAATTTTTTTTAATTATAAAATGCTATGTGATCTACCTCATAAATTTGTTATAAAAAGCTATGTGAGGGCTGGGGAGATGGCTCAGTGGTCTAAAGCACCTACTTAGAACAAGCTTAGCAAAAGCATCAGGGACCGCGGTTCAATCCCCCAGCACCACATGCCAGCCAGCCCT